CTTTTTAAAATTCATGGAATTAAAATATTAAGGGGAACATTCCAATTCTGAGAAATTGTAATTCTCTACAATTAAACGAAAGAATTAATTTTACCTCCGCAATTATGTAAAAATCAGATGAGAATAAAATTGTAATTCCATTCAATCAAAGACCGCCTATGGATACTCGATCTGCGTGCCAAGTGTGCGGGCGAAGCATTCCTACCCAGACACATAGTTAGGATATCGTTATCTTTGATGTATTTGCTTTTTGTATCTTAACCCATAAGACAATATATAGGATTACATATTTCAGAAATATTACATCATTTGATGTATTATATATCTCATCTAATTCAATTCTTTAATGTCATATCATGTCAAATATGAAATTAACCTTGTTGTGAACATATATATATATCAATATTATTTAGGTCCTTTTAAGATGAGTTAAGACACATTTTACGATTAACTTTTTCATTAGTCCCTAATGTAAAAACAACAAAATTTTCGATATTGAATAGCAATTCATTTGTTAATAAAAATACAAAAATTTGTAAAAAGAATTAAACCACGGAAATGAAAGATATGTAATGATTTCAGTTGAAAACTATTTTTCTTACTTCTATGACATCTATGTGTTCTTTCACATCATCATAAACAAATTGTGAAGCTAATATATAGTGTATGAAAGAAAGCGAATTGAAGTATAGTGGTGATAGGGAGATGGCCGGAGAAATCGACCTTAGTTGAATTATACCAAATATTCCTAGTATATAATTATAATAACATCCAATACAATTATAATAACTTCCGCATTGAAAATATATCTAATGTCATTAAATATATTTAAATACTTAAAACCGTGGTGGGTTACGGTGTTCTTCTCCGGTGCTACTATGAGTAGTTTCTGCCAGTAGGATAATCTGTCGGCTTGGACGTATACTCCATAGTTGTCATTTTCTATGGTTGCACTTTCTCTCTCCCTGCTGAACTTGTTTTAGAGACTTCTGGTGGATTGCCCAGCCTCCGGTGTATTCTATCTCCTCTATTTTGGTGAAAGTTCACCTAGGTGTGCTTTTTACTCTCTCCCCGTCGCGCTGGGTCACTGGAAATCTGCTTGTGAGACCTCCTCTGGTTAAGCATGCAAGATATAGCTAGTAATCTTGGTTTCGCGCACCTGCTGCGCATCGTGATGTAAATACACATAGGGACCTTGTGCCATTCATTTGCAGTATTTACATTATTGTCCTTCATTTAGACGGAGGCTTCATGGTCAAAGAGACGGAGGATGAAATCGGGCAAAAATTGTAAAGTTGAGGACAAACTTAATTTGGTAAGGATGATAGTAGAGGACCAAATCGGTAGTTTCGCAATAGTCGGAGGATCAAATCGGTCATTAACTCTAAATAATAGAATATGAAACAAAATAACCAAACAAGTAGTTAGAAACAAAAAAAAAAAATGAATAACTTGAAAAATATGCATAGATTTTAATAATAACAAATTATCTTGTTATAGCGTATATCTCCCGCGTGCACACACACGCACACACATATATGTTCATCATCATGTGAGAATCATGTCCCAGCCTCCCAGGTGAGAACCTATGGACAAATCCAACCCATTGATCTAGCGGATCTAACGGTTGAAAATAAACAAAACTTTATAATATTTATGAAAATGACCTCGCTCATTTTAAAACTTTGTAATATTTATGAAAATGACTCCACTCATTCTTTACTTTATTTTTCATCCATAAGATCTTGCAGATCAATTGTTTGGATTTGTCCACAAGTTCTCACCTAGGGAGTTGCTTTCATATGATTAGGATATATATATATATATATATATATATATATATATATATATATATATATATATATATATATATATATATGTTGGTCCCAAAGAGGTAAGGTAAAAGTCTAGAGGGGGGAGGGCGGTGAATAGACTTTTAAACCGTTTTCGCAAATGCAACAATTGCTTAGGCAACAGAGAAACCAAGACTCTTAACTAGATTGTTACAGTCTTGTGCACAACGGAATAAAAGATAAGGTGTGTGTAATTGTGTCAGATATATTCTCGGCAAGAAGCAGAAAGTAAAGAAAGCAATAAAGAATACAATGCAATTTAGAGTGGTTCGGATGTGGTGTAATCCTCCTACGTCCACTTGCTCCTATCTCCAAGAGCAATTCACTATATCCACCACTTCTTGGTTCCTAGATACACTGAATTCCGTGATCTAGTGCTTTGATCACAAAGCCCGCACTAATCACGCCTAGTGCCACCAACACTGCTGCTTCGGATTTCACAACTCTATGCTACTTTCCGGGATTTCACGACTCCGCGTTACTTTCCCCATGACTTCTACGCTCCAGTAGTACTGCTACATGGATTACACAACTCGGTGCTACTTTCCCTTCTCCAAGACTTCACAGCTCCGTGTGACAATCTTTTTCCTACACTCCAGTAGGGATGTCACTTATTTGTAGAAAAACAAACTTTCTTGCTTCCAACTTTTTGAGACTCTGGAGATGATCTTCAATGTACTTCAAGTCTCTTGTGATAAAGATTTAACACTATTGAATGATTTCTCTTGAAAGCTCTGTTTCTCTGAGTGTTTTTCTCTCTTGAATATATCAAGTATAACACTTAATTTTTATGCTCTATTTAGCTCTGTATTTTTGAACTCTATAGATATTGCTTTCTTAGTTCTCTGAGTTCTTGAATATTTTCTCACTTGAAGATTTTGAATTTCGTATGTTATTCGCGTTTTTGAGCTCTCTTGTTCCGTTCAAAACTTGTGTCTTTGATCTTCAAATCTTCATCCTTTTATAGCTGTTTTGAGAATCTGTCCGTTGGAAAAAGACGATATCAAATTTGAATTCCTGTATCTTTTGTCAAAGATCTTATCTTATCTTCTGGTAATGTGTCAGAAAGATATTCTAGCCGTTTGAAGAGCTTCAAGTCAACGCAAATGGGTTCCCAAAACTTCATCTGGTGTTTTCACGTTTCTTGGGAATTCTAGAGCTTCAATTTCATGTATAATGGCTCCTCTCACTACAAGAAAAATGCACATAGACAACACTAGAAAGACAACAGTTTTTAAGAAAAGTGTTGTCTTTTGTATAAAAGATCACAGTTTGGTCCAAAATTGTTGTCTTTGATGCAACACTTTTGTCAAAGACAACGGTTTTTACTTAACTGTTGTTATAAGTGTGTTGTCTTTGTGCATTTTGTGAAAAGACAACACCACAACGACAACGATTTTTTAAAACCGTTGTCTATGTGCGTTTTTTTTTAAATAAGACAACGGTTTTTTTAACTGTTGTCGTTGGTGTGTTGTCTTTAAGCGCACTGGAATATACAACACTAGAAAGACAACGGTTGTTTAAAACCGTTGTCTTTGTGCGCTCTTTTTTTAAAAAAAGACAATGATTTTATTTAACCGTTGTCGTTGGTGTGTTGTCGTTAAGCGCACTCGAATACACAACACTAAAACGACAACGATTTTATATAACCGTTGTCGTTGCACGTTCTTTATTTGTTTAAGACAACGGTTTTATTTAACCTTTGTCTTTGGTATGTTGTCTTTAAGCGTATTTGAATACACAACACTACAAAGACAACGGTTTTAAAAAACCGTTGTCTTTGCGCATCATTATTTAACAGTTATATAAAATAAAAACAAGAATGTTAACAACAAGAGTCGAACCTATGACCTCAAACTTAACAAATAAGGTTTAACCAACTAAGCAACACAAACTCTTATGTTTAAAGGTGCAACATCTGGTATATAACTGGGTTGCTTCTGTGTTGTTTGTGAAAATCGAGACAACAATTTTAGAAAATAGTTTAAGAATTCCCCCAGGAAGAATAGAACCTGAGACCTCTAACATAATAAACTAAACTAAAACCCACCAAACTACACCAACACTTGTGTATTTAATCGCAACATCTAGTATATTACCAGTTTGCTTATGTGTTATCTTTGAGAACCAAGACAATGATTGTATAAAATAGGTTAAGAATGCCACCATGAAAAATAGAACCCAAGACCTTTAACATAACAAACAAAGCTAAATCCACCAAGCCACACAAACTCCTTTGCTTTCTCTCTCCCTTTTTTCTTGATCGATTTGTAAATATTAGCTATCTAATTTCTTTTTTTCTTACATCAATATCTTGACTACTGATTCTAGTCTCCGAAAAAGCAACAAGAGTTCATTCGTTAAGTCTATGCAGGTTTGTCAATTCCTTACTTCTCAGTCTCTCTCGATTTTTTTTACTTTTTGTATAGTTGTTTTATTTGTTTATTTGTTTTACAGTGCTGAGCAACCGGCCTGGAGATGCAAGCAACTTTGTACAGGGAATTGGATCAGACTTCGGTTCGGTAATTCATTGTTCATTACCTCCTCCTCAGTTCTAAGTATTTATTTTGATTTGTTTATGTTCGTTGTGCTATTTTAATTTTAATAGGTGTGTTAATCTTCAAATTGGCTTTGATTCCTACTGTATTTTGGTCTAATTCGTACTGTAATTTGGATTTCAGGATACACAGCTTGTATACAAACACTATGCTACCTTATACTTTGTATTACTATTTGATAATTCTGAGAATGAACTTGCTATGCTTGATCTAATACAAGGTAATAGCTTGATCATTGTCATACTCTCGTACTTTAAACCTGCCTTTAGAAAACAATGTGAATGATTGGTCATAACTGTTCTTGTAGCTCTGTTCGTATTGAAAGAAATTACCAATAGCCCTACATTCAGTAGCTCTGTTGTTCCCCGACCCCCGTTACTACTTAATGACTTGCCTTTTTTCACTGGTGCTTGTTGGGCTTATCAGATTTTGGAATATGTTTATGATGTATCATATGCTTGTTGTTTGCATTCTGGAGTTTTAAGAGGTTTGAATCTTGGTCTTATGAAATAGTAAGGATTGGGGCTGAGATGATTTGATTGTAGAACTGAGACTTGAATTATGAGATTTTATCTATTCATCCTCAATAGATTTAGGGTTACACTTGTGTATTATGAATTTTCTTTGTTGTTTAATGACTGAACTATTCAGAATATGCTTCAAACTGGGCTTATTGTTGGTGGCTGGGACAAACATGAAGGAGGTAAAATATATGGGATACCCCTTGGAGGCACAATATTGGAGCAGCCTTTTGCTATTGGAGGTTTGTTATCCTTCCAATTTATTTTAGTTATTCCATGCATGGATACTTTCTTCCAAAACTGGTCTCTATCTTTCTTTACAGTTTACAGAACAAAACTTCTACACCCTAAATGTTTGTCAATTCTCAAGAGATATATATGCACTTTTGTCTGCACTGTACAATTATATTGGGCTTCAGCTTCGGCTTTCCACTTTGTTATCCAAATGCTTGCCTAGTAGTTTATAATGCATCATTTATTAATCATAATTGCTCTTGGTTAGTTTAAGGGCCTTTGTTCAGGTTCTGGTGTTCACATGTCATAGCAGATTTAATCTATCAATTCAATGTAATTATTGTTATTGTTATTATTATTTTTATCATTTTCAACACAATTGTATTGCTTCGAATAGAGTCATGGTGCTAGATGCCTCTGATGCTCCAATTGTATGATAGTCTAACTTGCTGAGACAATATTTGATTGTCCCTTTATCTACATACAGGATCAGGCTCTTCTTATTTATATGGTTTCTTTGACCAAGCATGGAAGGAAGGAATGACCCAAGAAGAAGCTGAGGTTAGTTCATGAACATTACTAATTTTCAAGGAGTGGGTATAGAATGAACTGCATTATCATCATCCAATCATGCATGCACTTTTTTCTTCTATTCTACAAATTAGATATGCCAAGGCTACCTGATTCTGTCTTTACCTACCTGGCTATGCCCATACCGGCCACAAGGGCACTAAGATTATCAGGGGATTTACTATTAACCTGGAGCTCGGAATAGAAACTTTGTGAATAGAGTTTTTTCCTGTTCGGACAAAGTTTAATTCATCAACTTAAACTCCAATTTAGTGGAGGAAAAGTACTGAAATTTTATTTATATTATTATTTAAGATGACACCCTGGCTTGGTATAGTTTAGTTTTCTTTAGTTTGTTTACTTTTTTTTTCCTGTTATTATAATTTATTATTTTTTGGGTGCAAAAGTTTCATAAGTTTAGGAAGTGTGGATGTTATATACAGCTTTTCATGTGGCATGTGCATGCCTCTTGCTGTGGAAAATATTTCTTTGATCCTCCAATAAAAAGATCTGGGCTCTGTTAAAATTTTCCCATCATAATAATTTACGGCAGATATCTGTTAATTTGTTTTGGAGATGTTTGTAATTTTGTATTTTGTATTTTTTATTTTTTATTTTTTTTGATGCAGAAATTTGTGGTTAAAGCAGTGTCTCTTGCCATTGCGCGGGATGGTGCCAGTGGTGGCGTAGTTCGGACTGTTACTGTGGGTTATTTCATTTAATTCCTGTACCTGAGTTTTCATATATTTGTTGATTGTGAATCTATTTATTAGTCATTTGATTCTTGGATGGAAAATACAATTTCAGTGGCAAAGATGCATACAAGAAAATACGAGTTGATGCTACACTTGTGCAACTCTACACAGCCTTTGCATATGGGGGGCCTGCCTTTAACTCAAGATAAAGGTATTGTAAATTTGTGGTTTTGATTCATTTATTTAATTTAATTTTTTTTAATGAAAAATGTCATACAATGGATACATGACAACTTGTGAACAGGTGCAGAGTGGGGTTTCAATATACGCCCACTCTGACGGATAAGATGACCGGATTTAGGTATAAAAAGGAAGAATATTACAATTAGTTCTCGTCCCAAGATTGAAACTTTTTCTTGAATCTTGTTATACTCTAAAGTTCAATTCTATGCATTTGGTAATTTTCCTGCTTTTTGTTTCTTGGTTTTTTCTGCTGAAATGAGAAGATTTGATGGCCTAAAAATGCTGGAAATATGTTGAGGGGAAAAGATTAGTCTTTGTGAGGGATTCTCTAAAGGAACATGTGGGGTTCTATTGATAGATCATCTGAAAAAGCAGTTAATTTGCTGTTGTTCTGTACTTATGTCGTTCATGGAAATATGGAACAACTTCTTTAATCTGGGAATCTCTTTCCAGCAAGTTATTATATTATATGGCATTTATTTTGCATGGCTAACTTATTTTGCATGGGAATCTCTTTAATATGTTGTTCATGGCTAACTTATTTCTCATTTCATTGCAAATTATTTATATCTATACTAATTTATTTTCTTACTTTTTACATGTAGTTTCAACAAGTTGATTATGACAAAGCGGTTATTGATCTGGTGCGATCTGAATGGGCCGAACATTGTGATCATTTGGATTTGAATTGGTTCGGGGAATTGTTTTTTGTGTAGTAGTATTATGACTTGGATGATAATTAGAATTGGTCATGGAAGTCTTTTGACTTGTTATTTTGAACCTTATTAGCTTGTGCACAATTATGTAATTACACTTTGCAACATATGGTGAATGGATAAATTGTTTTTTTTATACGATTATAATTTAAGCAGGTGAAAAACGGTTAAAAACCGTTGTCTATTTTACAATAGACAACAGTTAGAAACCGTTGACTTTTCTACAAAAGAAAACAGTCTATGGGTGTGACAAAAGCGATTTCAACAACACACAATAGACAACGGTTTATAACTGTTGTCTTTTAAAGAAAAGACAACAGTTAAAAACCGTTGTCTATGTACGTGACTTTTAACAACACTGGTTTCAACAACGCTTAATAGACAACGGTTAAAAAACCGTTGTCATTGGTAGAAAAGACAACGGTTATTAACCGTTGTCTATTGCGTGACTTTTAACAACACCGGTTTCAACAACACTTAATAGACAACAATTAAAAAACCATTGTCGTTGGTAGAAAAGACAACGGTTATTAACCGTTGTCTATTGCGTGACTTTTAACAACACCGGTTTCAACAACACTTAATAGACAACGGTTAAAAAACCGTTGTTGTTGGTAGAAAAGACAACGGTTAATAACCGTTGTCTATTGTGTGACTTTTAACAACACCGGTTTCAACAACACTTAATAGACAACAGTTAAAAACCGTTGTCGTTTCTAGAAAAGACAACGGTTATTAACCGTTGTCTATGTGCGTGACTTTTAACAACACCGGTTTCAACAACACTTAATAGACAACGATTAAAAAACCGTTGTCGTTTCTAGAAAAGACAACGGTTATTAACCGTTATCTATGTGCGTGACTTACAACAACACCGGCTTCAATAACACTTAATAGACAACGGTTAAAAAACCGTTGTTGTTTCTAGAAAAGACAACGGTTAAAAAACCGTTGTCTATGCGCGGGACTTACAACAACACCGGCTTCAACAACAGAAAGTATACCCCTACGACAACGGTTAATAACCGTTGTCTATGTGCATTTTTCTTGTAGTGTCTGATCTTTCTCTGAAGTGGTTCTTTGTTTCTTTGGGATTGTAATTTTGCATTTCCTCCGTTTAAGATTATTATTAGAGATAATCGACTGATGAACTGGATTGACTGATTCAGAGATGTGAATTGTCAGTCAGTTAGATAGATTGCAGATTAGTTTATAGATGAAACACTAGAGCAGATAATAAATCAACAAATACGATGTTTACCCAGTTCGATACAGTGTGTATCTACATCTGGGGGACTATCACCGAGGCGTCCAATCCACTAACTCATAATCAAATGTACAAAGGTAGAGAAATAAAAATCTCACCCAAGTGCCCCACAAAAGGTACGTACCCAGTCTACAAAGGTTTAGTGGATTGTTGAAGTCGGAGAGCCACGCATGCAGAAGTCCGATGAAATCCCTTCAATTGGAGAGCTAACTGTGATGCAGTCCGCTTCAATGACGCAGTCCCACGTTGTTCCCACAACTGAGTGATCTTCGCGTCCTTTCGTTTAAGCAACGTTAGTTCTTCTCAAGTTTTTCATCATAATCACCAAGAACTTGTTATCTTGAGAAGAGGCATGAGAATCAAAGATATGTGTCTCTGTATAACATGGAGTGTTTTTGTCTTCTTAAACTCGTAACCCTAATTCTTGACCGAATAAGGATACTTATACTTCCTTGGTAAGAACACTCTCCAAAAATATCTTTGATTGTAGATGGTAGGACAATTTGTGAAGAATGCAATCTTAAAGATTCGGTCCATACCTTCCAAAACAGATCCGCTGATATTCTTTCCAAAATAGTATTCTCAAACCGCGTTCAGCATTTTGGGAACATCTTCCTTTATCAAATCTTCAGTGTCAGTGCGTCTGTTGATGAATCTGATCAATCAGTCTTCTGTAAGAGTAAACAGACACCAAGCTAAACCATATCTTAATTTGTCATAATAATATTGCCAATTATACATTGGGGTTTTTGAACAAAATAAAAACACTAACAAACTCCCCCTTTGACTATTATTTGACAAAACAACTCGACTATGATTCAAACGTTTAGCTAGAGATATAAAAGAGAACAACTGTCTCATAAAGGAAATAAAGTCTGTAATACAACCCATAAAAATAACAGCACACAAGTCATGCTGGTCAAAAGCAAGTAACATTCTTCACAAAATGTGAGGCCATCACAAAAACACGCCCAGACAGGGCCAGGAGATACTAACAGACACACAAAAACCCCCCCTGAGTTTAGGCACTCCCCCTTTTTGCCAAAGATAGACAAAGGAACTATTAAGCATTCGAGGGACCTTCACTTTCAGACTTCACGTTCTCAGCAGCAGCAGACTCAGTCAAGCTTAGTCGAAGCAAAACAGTCGCAAGTCCAGTACGGGCTGCATTGAGCTGATTCGAGATAATGCCATTAACTGTCTCCAGCTCAAACACCCGAGCCTTTAGTCGTAGGGACAGCTGAACATCTTTCGCATGTGGCGAGTGCTCAACAGTAGGTTCAGCGTAAGATGATGGATGAGCATTAACTAGTGTAACATCTTGGATATGCTTGCCAATCAAGAGTCGCGGATCAACAGTATAGAGCAGAGACGGAGTAATAATCTCACTTGGCATTGGTACTAGGCCCTGCGACGTCAGAACTCCAAAGATAAGATTAGGATAAGGCAGTCTTACCTTCTATTCCCTCGGATGAATCAGGGTGAGAAAATGATAGAAGATCCACTTCCCTAGATCAATGGACATTTTGGTGCCAATTCGGAACAAGAGAGCAGCCAGTTGCTTCCCAACAGTTTGAAAATGTGCAGAGGGGAGCCAATTGTGCAGTACAATACGGTGCAGGATAACATATTTGGAGGTAAGCACTGAGCTAGATAGAGTGTCAATATCACCTGTAGGCCATACTGGAGTCTGACTACCAGTAAGAGTCCATGCAACCAAATCCCAATCTGTAATTTCTCCTTCGTCAACAGCCTTCAACCCATAATAGTCATTTATCATGTCCGGGCCGAACACATACCACTGCCCTCTGATAAAAATCTGTTGGCACCGTGTTCCAGTAAGGTTGTCAATTTCCTCATTCAGATTGCAGTAAAACTCGTAAGTCAACAGCTTTGAGTAGGGACAAATGGACGTCACAGTCTTCAGTAGACCAACCTCACTCAGCAAGGGTAAAACATCACAGACAGAATTCAACTGATTCTCATCAACTGATCGCTGAACAATAAGCTCTCGTCTAACCATAGTAGACCACTTGCCTTGAGCTGTGGCAGAAACAAACTGTGGCTTGTAGATGGAGATGTCATGACTGTCAGACGCAGCTTGAACATCAGCAGTGACACTCCTTCCTCTTGTCCGGGTTGTAGCTTTCATTTTTCTGGTAGCAATGTTTGAAACAGTAGCAGGAACCTTATTCTTTATTGCTGATCTCAAGGTTTTGAGCACTTGCTGAACTGGTGGGTCACTCTCAGCCTGCACTGAATCGGCTGATCTTCGTTTTTTCTCTAGTTGGATGGTTTCGATATTGTCATCACCGGTTTCCACAGATGCTCTTTCTGGAACACCTTTGCGTTTGGATTTCCTTATTTCTCTAGCAGGAGAATGATCAGTAGGACTTGGAGAAACCGAATTGCTTGTCTCAGACACAGGAGCAGAAGAAGAGGAAAAAAGTTTGGAGACTTCTCAAATTTTGAAAGAAGTGGAGTCTGGATGTGCTGTCTCTTCCACTGTAAGGGATCTAATGGCATCAGATGATGGGGCTTGTAGACCATACACTTCAGCCAGAATTTTCTCAGCATCACTGTCTATCTGCACAGAGGGATCATTAGGATGAATGACTCTGTAGGGCTCAGGTACAGAGGTTGAGGGTAAACCCGCAAAGTGGCGAATGTGATCAAGACTTTCAGCCAAGGTAGTGGATGTATAGACTGGAACTCCATCAATCGAATCAGATGGACGAGGACTTGTAGATTTTTAAGCTTCAATCTCAGCAGATACGTTAGGTGGACCATCAACTGGGCAAACCTCAACTGGGGACTTAACAACGTCAGACACAGGAACAACATAAAGCGTTGAACGCTCAACATCAGCAGAGTAAAAAACCAGACTCAAATTATCGACCTTATCAGTTTTTGAAACTTTTCCCTCAGACTCACTAGCAAGAACAACTTTTGCAGACTCAAATTTTTCAGAAGATAAATGGTGTGGATCATCAGAAAAAGAGGACTTAGCAGACAGTAACGTATTCTCATTATCAGATTGTGCAATAGGCAGAGTAGACTCAATATCATAAGAAAGCAATTCAGCATGCTTATCAGGGGAAATCTCAATAGGAGTCTCAGAAGTATTAGACCTGTTTCGTAGAATCTTAAGACGATGTTTGGCTTTGTCCTGTGCAGCTTGAAGGTAGAGAGGTCGAGCTTCTGCCATTCGACGCGAGACTTCTTCCGATTCCAGAGCTCTTTGGGCAAAATATTGGAGGAAAGCCCCAGCATGGTTCCCATCTTCAGGTTCAACAATGGAGGCATGACTAACATCGTCACTCGTTTCTGAGGCCAACATCAGAAGATCGCTTGTATCATCGTCCGACCAGTCCGCATAGAACTCAGGGTAGTCTGAAATCACCGTGACTATGATCTCGTCGTGGAGAACAGAGTCCAGTTTCAGCTTCTTCTTCATTGCGAGTTGGAGGAGAGTTTTCACATGCTTCGTTGCGGTTTCTGGTGTATAGATTTTCCTTCCCAACTTGATAATGATATTTCTCACTGCATCCGCCATAGTTGTGATATTTGGGAATGAGAAGAGAGAAACCCTAGGTAGAGAATCAGTAAGAGATTAACAGAGAGCAAAGTAGTGTTTAGTACTCTTCTCCCATCAATATTGACCCAATGAAATATATAATCCCAAGGGTGATGAACACTATTCAATGCGGCTGTCAG